TTTGCCTTCTCCTTCTCCTTCTCCTGCACCCTCAGCCACTAAATCTTACTGTGTTTTCTCCACATGCTTCAGAGAGCGCTAGTCCTTGCTGTCTATTCTAACGACTAAAGTGCTTGTCATTCTCTGCTTCAACTACTATAATTTCCTTCTATCTAGCTTCTCTTAACTCACATCGCTCCCCTCTAATCCACGTGGAGGTCTACAATCTAAATTATCTTCCACGATAGGAATTATCTGTAAATTGTGCTACTGGTGTCTCCTCACCCATTTGATCAAGTTTAAACTTATTATCCTAATGTTTAGGACTCTGCACAGCTCAGAAATCCTGGATCACCTTTCTCAGATTTTTCCTCCTTTTTACCTCACACAGAGTGATAACAGTTTCAATGTCCCCTGTACTCTTTCTACTTTGTTGTTTTCTGTACATGAGGGATGAACTTCCAGATCTTGAAAACCCACCTCATCCTCCACCTAACTCATTTAGATGACCCATTTCTTCTGATAGATGACAATGAGATCAGTAAAAGCTAAAATATTTTGTTTTAAATGACTCAAAGTTACTTTTTTCCCTCAAATTTTTTGGTGTTTGTTTCCAGATTGGATGGGGCTGGTCTTTCTATTTGCGACTTGTATAGAATATGTGTGTGAGATCACTATGTGAAGAGGCAGAATTGAATTCTATTCCTTTGTCATCTAGGACTGCTTCAGCATCAAATCAAAATTTTCAGAAGAATTCCCCAAAGCCATAATTAGTGAATCCCCTGCAGTATCACGTACACAATGAGAGTCACAACAAACTGATTTTTTTCACACCATGAACATGTACTTTGACTTAAATTTTATGGATTTAGCAGAAGACAAGAATTTGATCCACTCAGTAAGGGCTTAATTCTGCTCCCTGTGAAATCAGTGACAGAACTCCATTGACTTCAGTGCTTCAGGATTACAACTTTGATCTACATGGACTGTGTTTATACAAGTAACTTACAGGTGAATGATCTGCCACCAACAAATGCATACATTTAGTAAACACTAGACAAAAGCCTTATGTCTCCCTGAAGTAGGCTTTGGTAAGGATTGCTCTGTTTATCCACTTTTATAGAGTGGCAGGCCCAGCAACAGCAGTCACCTAATATATTCAGGTATTTGTCAGATGTTATTGGAAAAATTATGAAATTCCAAAAGCTATTCCGCAAACTAATTGAGGAATTCAAATTATTAATTATTTTTCTCCATTTATCAGTAGTAGTAGTAGTAGTAATTTATTTACAGCTTCTGCAATAAAAAAGTAAATTTAAGAAAATAACAGTATTTCTAGAATTTATCGTTTTTGCTAAAAAAGTAAAGTAATATTATCTACTCTACTAGTTAACACAAAATTAAAACAGAACATAGTATATGATCTTATAGAAGAAAAGATAAAATAAAGTACTGGACATCAAAACAAAACATGAAAATTGTATTTGATCCATTTATCCCATTTCTGGCTGAAAAAATAGGAACTTTTTGGTTACTATATTTAACTTTTAGTTTATTATTTGTAGTTAGGTGCATTTAAATGGTGTGGCATAGGTGATATGCAGCCTTCCCTTTTAGAGAGCAAGTGACAGTGTTTGAATGCCACATCTCATCCTAGCCTAATGGAATCAAAATCCAATGGGCTAACTAGAATATCTGTATTATTGTATGAACATTAGCTGTTCTGTTGAAATAAAGTAGCTGTGTGTGGAGGAGAGGGGGATGGGGGGGGTTAGGTGAAAGTTGGCACGTCTACACGTGCATTAATGCACCATAGTTATTGCGCATTAAGTTTAGTACCTGTAATAACAGGTGACTACTTCGCCTTGGTCTTTCATCGGACCAAGGGGACAACCATGCCAGATAGAGTAGAGGATGAGCACAGTAAGAATAATCACCTTCCAACTATTGCCGCAGAATTGGTGTATGACCAATTAAAAAAATTAGATGTATACAAGTCAGTGGGACTGGAAGATCTTCATTTAAGAGTCGTGAAGGAGCTAGCCAAAGTCATTGTGGAATCCCTGGTGAAACTCTTCCACAACTCATGGCACTCTGGAGAAGTCCCTGAGGACTGGAAGAGGGCCAAGGTTGTGCCCATCCACAAGAAGGGCAGGAAGGAGGACCTGGGTAACTATAGGCCAATCAGCCTAACTTCCATCCTAGGGAAAATCCTAGAGCAGTTCATCAAGAAGTCTATCTGCAATAAGCTTGTAGAAGGTAAGATTCTGAATGACAGGAAGCATGGCTTCATTGCGGCCAAGTCTTGCCTTACCAGCCTCATCTCCTTCTATGACTTTGTAACTCATCACATGGACATGAGAGAACAGGTTGACATTGTATACCTTGTTTTCCAAAAGACCTTTGATCTAGTATCCCACAATGTCCTTGCAAGAAAATTGGAGGATTGTGGACTTAACTCTGAGACAGTCAGGTAGGCGAGAAACTGGCTGCAAGATAGAACCCAGAGAGTCATAGTGAATGGATCTGTGTCATCCTGGTGAGAAGTGGGCAGCAGTGTCCTACAGCAGTCGATGCTGGGTCCAGTACTTTTCAACATCTATATTAACAATTTGGATGTGGGTGGTGAAGAGCTCACTGGCCAAGTTTGCGGATGACACCAAGTTATGGGGGAGTGTGGTCTCACTTGAAGATAGTCTACAGATACAGATGGACCTAGACAGGCTAGCAAGTTGGGCGGATCGGAACCTGATGAAGTTCAACATTGAGAAATGTAAAGCGCTCCACTCAGGATGAGCAGCCCCAAACACACCAAAGGATTTGTGGCACCAAACTGACTAGCACCACGAATGAAAGGGATCTGGGGGTAATAATAGACCACAATATGAATATGAGCTGGCAGTGCGATGCCGTAGCCAGCAGGGCAAATAATACTCTGGCATGCATCAATCGATGCATCTCCAGCAAAACAAAAGAGGTGATTCTTCCGCTCTACTCAGTACTGGTGAGACCACAGCTGGAGTACTGCGTCCAATTCTGGGCACCACACTTTAACAAGAATGTGGACAAGCTTGAGAGAGTCCAAAGAAGAGCCACCTGTATGATCAGAGTCTTAAAAGGCAAGCCATATGAGGAAAGGCTGAGGGATCTGGGACTCTTCAGCCTGAGGAAAAGAAGGCTGCGACGGGACCTGGTAGTAGCTTACCACTACACTAGAGGAATACATCAAGGGCTTGGTGAGGAAATGTTCACCAGGGCACCTGAGGGGAAAACCAGGAGTAATGGCCACAAACTCCTGAAAGATCAATTCAGGCTCAATATTAGGAAAAACTTCTTCACATCAGGGTGTCCAGACTTTGGAATGAGCTCCCTCCAGAGGTGGTGCAATCACCTACCCTAAAAATCTTCAAGAGGAGACTAGACAGTCACCTTGCTGGGGTCAGCTGACCCCCAGTTATCCCCAGTTATCTTTCCTGCTTGGTGCAGGGGGCTGGACCCTATGATCTATGAAACACTAAGGGGAGTGAGGGGTTAGTGCATAGCTGTTACTCCTAGCTTATAGGGCTGTGTGAAGCTTCAGGTGGTGATTTGATTTGGAGGAGATTTGCCCCACCCGCCCAAGCTCCCAGTGTTTTAAAAAAAAGGGCCGACTCACTGGCTGCTGCCTGATGTGGGGGGAGATCCCTGCTGCCCCCCACGCGGCATGGGGGGCTCTGCCATGAGGTCCCCGACTCCCTCCAGCCCCCCCATAGCGGTCCCGCCTGCTCCAGCTCCAGCCTTTTAAACCTCCAGCCCAACCCCCCCCCCCAGGCTCACCAGCTCCTGCAGTGGCCTTGGGGTTTGGGGGGGCTCGTGCAGAGCCCCCCACATGGTGGGGGGCAGCTGGGGGCAGCAAGGATTGCCCCCCTGCTGGCATGAACTGATGAGTTTGGGGTTTGGGGAGTTTTTTTTCCTTAAAAGGCCAGAGCTGGGGTGGGCAGGAGGGTGGGGGGAGGGTTGGGGGCTCATGACAGAGCCCCCCACTCTGTGTGGGGTAGTGGAGGGCAGCGGGGATTGCCCCCCCTGCTCGGCAGCACCTGGTGAGTTGGGGGGGGTTTCCCCTAAAGTGCTGGGAGCTGGGGCAGGTGGGGTAGCCATGTGGGGGCTGGGAGAGTAGGCAGGGGATGGGCTGGTGCGATTCAGAGATTCATCAGAAGCCAAATCTCTGAATCAGATTCCGCTGAATCGATTTGGAACAGTGATTCGAATCACGGAATCGAATTACTATCCCCCTTCTCGGCGAAATCTGAATCTGAAGCGAATACTAGCTATTTTGCACAGGCCTACTAGTTTATGATATTAGTAAGCACTACAGTAGATTTGAAGGTATGGTTAAATAAAGAATACCACAAGGCAATATTTTTGCATCTCAGAATCTGAACAGACCATGCCTAGTTCTTAAGGCTTTGCTGAGGCTTCTTCCAGAGCTTCAGAGCCTTAAAAGACTTCATTTTGATTTTGAATGGCCTATTTGTAATGTTAACCTCCTACAGCCTCTGCCATATTTCCCCTGGTGTATCAAATATACCAGTGAAATAAAAATTAATTTTAAAGGTGGTTGTGGGAAAGGGAAACGTGTCTGATTTAAGCCTTAAAATCTGCCCTGGAACCTTGGCAGATGTCTTATGCAGAGATATTGTAAAAGAAAAAAGAATGTTAGAAAATATCAAGATCTTCCCTGGAATGAAACCAGTATTTCCATATATTAGATAGCATTGCAGTGACACAGTAGCCCATTTTCCTTTATTTTTGTTCTACTCTAGTGATAGATATATTTCACAAGGAAGTGTATATGCATATATATGCTCCAACACTGCCACTAACTATTGATTTGTACTTAACTCTATAGAACTGTAGAATCAAACTGAATTAAAATCATATTAAAAAGCAGATCACAAATGTAATGCTTTAAATATAATAAAGATTTTGGATTATTGACTGGCAAATATTTGATAGGAAAAAATATTGTTTTACCTTTTCAGATGCAGTTGTATGGAGCCAGAAAATCCTAGCAATAAAACCTTGCAATACTGGAAGGACTACAATATCTCTGCATCTGATGTACCATGGGGGAACGTAACTTTGTCAGTAAGTGAGATGTTGGAACCTAATAACTAGCAGGTTAAATATCAGTGTTATATTTTCTACTATATTTATATTGCAAAATATTTTATTCCCTTTCTGATCTTAGAGTTTAAGGAGAGAGACACTACTTTGCTGAATAAAGATTAACATGATTTTGTTGCATTAAATTAACTTTTGCTCTTTTTTATATGATATAGTCATTGTTAGTCCATAGTACATATTAGGCCAAGAATGTGCATTGTTGTCAAGTACTTCAAAACTTCTTTGCATACTAACAGAGAAGTCTGGCTTGGATTAAGTCTGAACACATCAAATGACAACAGTTTTGACCTAAATTCTACCAGATGGCAAAATGAAAGCTGCCTTGAGTGGAAAGAACCTATAAGCCTGTATTTCTCTTAAAATTCTCCTCCAGCTGTTCAGGCTATAGTAAAGAGGGAGAGGAGAAAGTATGTTAGCATCATATATCTGATACTGGAAGTCTGCTTTACCCTATTCCTTTCTTGTTAACTTTGTATTGTGTGACTGTCAGAGCTCTGTAAAAGATTCCTGCAAGTAATTATGTTACCATTCTGCAGGGCAGAACAAGAAACACACCATTCATTTTTTCACGTGCACAAAATATTTGTTTCTGGATTAATATGATTTTCTGGGTAAGGTTGGTGTTTCTCTTTTTCCTTCCTAACAGAGGCTTTTGTATCTTGATAATAAACAACATATTTGAACACAGACCATTCTTCCTTGCAATATTTCTTTCTTCATCACTATGCCAATAAGTATTCAGTCTGAAAAAGAAAGAAAACTATTTATCAGCTCAAGAGACATACAAGACCCAGGCTTAGTGTCTTCAGTAGGGAGGGCCTAAATCACCCTAATGGGCACTATACTTATTCTTTTAGCTTTGTTAGGTATTTCTGCCAGGAAATTAGGCTTAGATTTGCCTCAGTTTATCCAACTGAACTCTATTAATGCTAATCCAATAAATTTGCTTTCATGGATATTATTTCCTTTCGAAGGCATAGCTTTTCAAACTGTAGGATGCCTCTCCCATCTGAGGGAGTTACACCCAGATTTGAAGAGTTCCTGATCCCCTCATCCTTCCAAACCTTCCTTAATAGCTAGATGAGATGAACAGTTCCTGAATTTTTGTGCCTATTTTAAGGTGGCATTAAACTGTGGGAAATGTGAACTTTTTAAGGAGAATCCAGCCTTCTAGATTTTAGCAAAGCTCTAGTAGTGCCTGTGCAGGGGCAGACCTGCCTTTTCAGTTTTTCAAATCTCAGCCTATGAAAGTCTGTTTCAGAATATGTTTATGCTAGATTTAAGATAATAATAAGCGTATTTTAAGAATGAATGTAAAAGCCCTATTCTGTTGCATGAAATCCCTGAAAACATCTTCCCAAAGTCCTGTTATCAAAACAATAGGTTAAACTAAGAGCAGTAGGACTGGATGGGTTTTGTAATAACACCTTGGCCTGTCAAAGAAATATCACGTTTTCCAATATTTATTCATTTACAGTTTAAAGTTTCTTGATGACATTTTTGGTACCCACTCTGGACACTTTTCACACATTGCTGTGATGCATAAATATTACCCTGTTTGTCATGGTGTTAATTCTTGTGTTCCCTATCATTTTTTACTTAGCACTAAGATTGTATCTTCTTTTGCTCACATATTCAAATATTCTTTATATTTCTGTGAGCAGGGAGGCTGAGAAAAATCCATCTTTATGGCTGCCCATTAATCAGTTGCTTAGACTACTGCCTAGGGAGTCCTGTGAAGTTTCCATCTGGGATTTTGGTTCCAATTTATCTATTACCTAAAAATGAAAATGAATAAAATTGGACAGTCTTTGTCACACTGGACTTGAAATGAAGCAGAGAGACCCTAAATAAGTGGTTACTTTTTTTTGATTTTGTCAGAACATTTTTAGAAACAAGCTAATCCAAACAAGAATTTGGTGGTGTGTGCTGCCCCCTTCTGGTAAATAATTGTGTTCCTTTCCAGGATAAAATTAAAGTCCAAACTTCTTTGAACAACTCAAATTATCAAATTAAAACAAACTTGAAAAAGGGACTGGAACAGCTTTTTTTTAATGATATTTTGAATTTCTGTTTCCTTTCTTAATAGGAAATAGGAAGTGTAAACCATATGGAAATTGAAAAAGCTTTAATTATCTTTTTATAAAACAAAACAGACTAGTTTGCAGGAATGGGTGAAGACTTCTGATTTTTTTAACCCAAATTGGTTTCACTATCTCTAATTGATATGAAATGAACACTGTCATTAATCATTTCTAGGAAAAAAAATTGCAGAAGCTCGCTAGGTTTTTAGGGGCATTATAACAAGGTATTTATGTATGTACAACTCTCTTTGTTCTGAGACAGAGAATTTTTATTTTGAAGCTTTGCATTTTTCTTCATATCATTATAGCTAGAAAGTAAAATATGACCTAGAAAACTATGATATAACGATTTGTTTTAAAAGGAAAAGGGTTAAATATGTTTAACTTTTCATTGATAATTTATTGTATAATAGAATTTGTATTTAAACTGAGGGAGCGATTCATTGAATAAAACATTTATAGTAGCAAGACAATTGGGTTTGCTTTCCCCATTAGGAATGTAACAAGTTTCATGGGGAGTTTGTTGGACGGGCCTGTGGACATCATGGACCTTATGTTCCGGATGTTCTCTTCTGGTCAGTCATCCTATTCTTTTCTACAGTAATGCTATCATCCACACTGAAGCAGTTCAAGACTAGCAGATATTTTCCAACAAAGGTAATAGAGTATATATTTTAATATAAAATTTTGTGTTAATTTGGTGGAGAACATGTCTATTGTGTTGCAAATACAGCTTTTTATTATTTTATATAAATTATTGCTCATGATTTTTAGTGGAATTAGGATTTTGTAGAGAAATTGCTTAAGTATCTGTCTTTTTGTGGGGGGGTTGTTTGTTTTTTGTTTGTTTTTGTTTTCTGTTTCTGCCTTATTGTTTAAAATATACATTACTTTATGGCTAAATCCAACATACAGAAACAGCTTAGATCAGTATTTAACACTGCAGCTTATCACAGGATGAAGGATGGTTCTGTAAAGAAACAACTCTTTGTGGATAAACTGCAAAAAAAGTGCAGACTCCTTTTTATCTTGACTTGAGAAGAGAAAGACCTTGGAAAGGAAAAATGGAGCTAGTTTTATATACCCTAATGCAGCAGCAGCACTGCTAGTATATATAAGAGGACCTATGGACTATTATTGTGTCAAGCTACATGGGTGAACAAAAATAACTCCGTGTGTTCTTTGGACATGTATACACCATGAAAGGACCTCACTAAAAAGCATTGCAGTGAAGAACAGCATGCCTGCTCTAGAGGCACTACCTTAAGATCAGATCGTACCAAACCCCACAACCCAGGAACTAGCACAGAGAACAACCAAGGGAAGTTTCCACTTTTATATAGGAGATGCTGGGGATTAGAGTTACAAGCCACCAGGCTAAGGAGATTGGGAAAAAGCACAGGTAAATAAACATTAGCGTACATACACTTATATACCTGTATATATAGCAGGTAATAAACTATGTCACTGTGGCAAAACCACCCAAGAACAGATAACAGGTAACAGATAGGGAACTCTTATACCATGGTATATACATTTAATAAACCTTAACACCCCCTTTTCCAACTCCCCCCAGCTCTGGAGGGACTCTAAACCAGTATCTGGTCCCAAAGTGCCATCTGTCATCAGAAGGGACCTCAGCAGATCATCGAGTCCGACCCCCTGCCCTGGGCAGGAAAAAGCACTAGTGTCAAATGACCCCAGCCAGGCAGTTGTCCAGTGTCCTCTTAAAGACCCCCAAGGTCGGGGAGAGCACCACCTCCCTTGGAAGACCATTCTAGATTCTGGCAATCCGTACCATAAAGAAGTTCTTCCTGATGTCTAACTTGAATCTGCTCTCTGTCAGTTTGTGGCTATTATTTCTAGTTACTCAAAGGGGTGCCCTGGTAAACAGAGCATCTCCTATCCCTTGCTGTCCCCCCGATGAATTTGTACATGGCCACAATATCATCTCAGCCTTTTCTTGCGGAGGCTGAAGAGATTCAGGTCCCTCAGTGTCTCCTCATAGGGCCTTACCTGAACCCTCTCAAGGTTATCCACATCCCTCTTGAAGTACAGCGCCCAAAACTGGATGCAGTACTCCAGCTGCGGCCTCACCAGTGCCACATAGAGGGGACGTATCATCTCCCTGGACCTGTTTGTGATGCACCTGCTAATGCATGATAAAGTGCAGTTAGCTTTACTGATGACTTCATAACATTGACAACTCATGTTCATTTTGGAGTCAGCTATGACTCTGAGATCCCTTTCTGCTACAGCGCTGCTGAGAGGGCCTTCTCCACTGCCTGTAAGTGTGCTGGTGATTCCTTCTCCCTAGGTGCAGCACTTTGCATTTGTCCTTGTTAAATTGCATCCTATTCTGTTCTGCCCACTTCTCCAACCTGTCCAGATCCGCCTAGATTTGTTCCCTGCCCACTAGTGTGTTTACTTTACCCCATAATTTGGTGTCATCCGTGAATTTGGACAGAGTGCTCTCCACGTCTTCATCCGAATCACTGATGAAGACATTGAACAGCACTGGTCCAAGGACCAAACCTTGGGGAACTCCACTGCCCACATCTTTCCAGGTCAATGCCAACCCATCTGTCACCACTGTCTGGGTGTATCTCATTAGCCAATTAGCCACCCCCCTGACCATGTAATCATCTACATCACAGTCGCTCAGTTTATTTATGAGAGTAAGATAAGATACCATATCAAAAGCTTTCTTAAAATCCCGATAGATTACATCTACCTCATCCGCTGCATCTAAGCCTTTAGTGACCTGGTCATAAAAGGAAACAAGGTTAGTCAGGCAAGATCTACCAGCTATGAACCTGTGCTGATTGCCCTTCAGTATTATTGTTCCTGCTAGACTCCCACAAACGTGATCCTTAATAATTTTTTCAAAGGTTATCCCAAGGATAGAGATGAGGCTAACTGGCCTATAGTTACCCAGATCCTCCTTCCTCCCCTTCTTGAAAATAGGGACCACATTCACCCTTTCCCAATCCTCTGGGACCTGACCTGAGCACCATGAGTTCTCAAACAGCCATGCCAATGGTTCTGCTATGACACTGGCCAATTCCTTCAGCACCCTTGGATGAAAATCATCCAGGCCTGCTAACTTAAACATGTGCAGCACCTCCAAGTGTCCCTTCGCTAAGTTGACGCTAACACTTGGTGGGCTGGTTTCCCTCCTGTGCTCATCTATAGTCCAACTGGGAGATCTGTCCTGATCCATGTTCAAGAATATGGAAGCAAAAAACTCATTGAAGAGCTCAGCTCTGTCCCTCCTTTCTGTCACCAATTGCCCTAGTCTTCTCTGTAGGGCTCCTATGTTATCCTGTGCTTTCTTTTTGTTCCCTATATACATGTAGAAGGACTTTTTGTTGTCTTTAATTTTCACTGCCAGTCCAAGTTCCATTGAAGCTTTGGCCTTTCTACCTGACTCCCTGCAAGTGCAAGCTAAGTAGGTACATTTCTCCTTGGTAGCTAACCCCTGCTTCCACAGTCTATATGCCTCTTTTTTGCCCCTAGGCTTTCCTGGATTTCCCCGTTCAGCGAAATGGGTTACTTGGCTCCTTTGTCCCCTTTCATGCTCAATGGGATTGTCTCCTGTGCCTGAAGGATCATTCCCTTTAGGAACGACCACCCTTCCTGGACTCCCATCTCACCAATGCCCCTGATCATCAGTGCCTCACTAACTAATTTCCTGAGCATATTGACCATGTCTGAGCCCAGCTGCTACAGCTCACAGTCCTAGTTGCTGCTCAGTAGTTGCATGCCATGTACCTCTGTCTGCCATGCTGTTCCATGTTGCAATGCTGCTCCTTCCTCTTCCTCATGTCTTCTGCAGCCTTCTGGGAGTTGTAGTGCATGATACAGTTCATTTTCCTAGTCCCCTGGAGGCTTCTGGGAACCATAGTTCACTTTACAACATTACAGTACATTACAAGGTGTTCTGTAACCATCTTAGAGCAGCACTAGCAGGCACCAGTGAGCTCACTTTTTGGGGTGTGAGTATTGGTGCACACCCAGCATTGTTCTAAGCCAGCTATATTACATCCATTATGGGGTGCATGATGTGTAGAGTAGGTGTGCTGTGCTTCACTATGACTATCCTGAGTATGAAATTCATGGTATTGAATTGATGTAGGTATACCCTTGTGGCCCTTCTCTGTTCTGACTATTGCATAGGAGAAAATACAATCTTGTCTTGAAACAAGGTATTCTCATACCCTGTCAAAGACATTAAGTTGACACTGTTATGTTTTCTTTCTTAAATTACATATGGCTGTTTTTCCGGAAAATGACATTTGGCTCAATATTTGCAGGTGCGATCTATAGTCAGTGACTTTGCCGTCTTTCTTACTATTCTGTCTATGGTCTTACTTGACTATGCCCTTGGAATTCCATCTCCAAAGCTTCAAGTTCCAAATGCCTTCAAGGTAATCTGTTAATATATTGCACTGTCTTACTGCATTGCTGAGATAGTCTGCCACATAATAGATTGAGATTGGAGAACATTTTAAAACCACTGATTAAACAGCTGTTCTCTGAACTATTTGTGTGCGCACCAAACCCCTTGATCTGTGACTAGTGACTCATAGCTCGACTATAACAAAAGTATTGTTGTCATTATCTGTGCATATTGAAACCTTTATTATCCACATTTTTTATCTGAGATTTCCTATTATTTGTATAACCTAGTTTCAGAAAAGTGTGTTTTGGATACTAGTTCCTTTTCAAGCTGGGAATGATTAAGTTAAATGTCTACAGTTAGATTGATCTGACTAAGGAGTTTTAGCTGATCCAAACCCTCTATCCCATAGGTGGGCAAAATGCGGCACCGGGGGCCGGATGCAGCCTGCTAGGCCATTCTATTTGGCTCACGGAGCCCCTAAAAAATTTAGAAAATTAATATTTATCTGCCCTGGGCTGCCTGTCATGTGGCCCTTGATGGCTTGCCAAAACTCAGCAAGCAGCCCTCTGCCCAAAATAATTGCCTGCCCCTGCTTTATCCCCTGTCTCCTGTTTTTATACTTTCCAGGCTAGCCCATTCTTCTGTATTGGTGATCCCAACAAGTAGGCTCTACAGTTTGCAGTCAGATGTTCCTTATATTATCCCAGTGAAAGATAATGGTTTTGAGTACCTCTTCCTACTCCCCCCACACCTGAAGACTTTGTATTATTATTTTCATTCTACTATATACAATAAAGTCTATAGCCAGAAGGTAGAGCAGTGTGACACCTTAGAGCAGGGGTTGGCAACCCCTGGCACGCGAGGGCATTTTGCTTGGCACACCATGGCCAGCCTTGGCTCTGGGTAGCTGCTGCCAGGGACGGAGCCCAGGCTGCTCCCAGCAGGGCTTGCAGCATCCCAGCTGCCTGCTGGGAGCAGTCCGGGATCCCAGCTGGCAGCAGCTCTCCAGAGCTGGGGCCGGCTGCAGCCGGGAGGCTCCAAACTGCTGTGCCAGGCTCCAGGCTCCGGCATCAGCTCCACACTGGAGGGTGCAGGTGCACCTCAGAGCAGGCGGTGGGGGAGGGGCCTGATGCAGCATAGCCCGGTCTCTCCCCTGCTCCCGGCACGGAGGTGATGGCAGACTTCCAGAGCCCGGTGCAGCTGTTTGTAGCTAGCCTGGGCTCTGGGCAGCTGCAGCAAGCAGCTGGCAGGCTGCAAACAGCTGTGCCGGGCTCCACAGCTCTGGCATCAGCTCTGTGCTAGCAGTAACTGCGTGTGCACCTTGGGGTGGACAGTAGGGCAGCGCAGCCTGCCTCAAGGTGCCCGGGAGCTCCCAGCAGGCAGCTGGGATGCTGCAAGCACCGTTGGGAGCAGCCTGGGCTCCAGCAGCTACCCAGAGCTGGGGTAGCTGCTGGCAACCGCAGACCCCGGGCTGGGGGGGCAAGGGCTTTGGGCTGGGGGGCACAGGGTGGCAGGGCTGGGGGTTAGGGGCTTTGGGTGGGGGGCAAGGGGCACAAGCAGGGTATCCTGTCATGAATGCCTTGCCCTCATTTTGTTTTTCTGCTGTGCCGGCACTCTGGCACCTTCCAAGGTAGACATTGTGGTGTTTTTCGGCACCCCAGCCAAAAAACATTGCCTACCCCTGCCTTGGAGACTAATTGGTTCAGAGAGGAATGAGCTTTTGTAGGCAACAACATATCTCATGAGATGTTAAGTGTTGTACTATCTTATATAACTGTTAGAGAAGGAATGAAATGCCATATTTATACTTTAGGGATAGGGACAAACATTCAAAAAGTCTGAGCCTGAACTAATTAAATTTTTGCAGGTTAGTCTAACCATGATTAGGCAGAACAAGTTTGTAACTGTACAGATATTCCCTCTGGACTGAAAAAATGCAGTCACATGCCTGCAGTGGCTCAGGCTAGAAGCCAGGGGGCTCTAGAGCAGCCCTCCCTTGCCTTCCACAATGCTGAGCTGAGGTGGGGTATGGCGAGGCCCAGCAGGACACTGATTAGAGAGGGACTTCCCCCACCCTTGCTGCTTATGACCAGCCCAGCGTGGAGTTGATAACAGGATTTAGCAGTCCATCAGCAAAACAAAAGCCTCTCTCATTAGTTCAAGCTCTTCTTAAACAGCTTTTTCCAAGGAAAGAAGGGGGAAGGGTGTGAGGGGGGAACATTACCAGATGACCTGTTGATTAGCTCCCAAAAGCCCTAAGTGGACACTATCCTGTCGGCCTTTGTAACGTCTGCCTTACACAGACACCTCTCAGCATTAGCTAGCATACCACATGCTGGCTGCAGTTCGTGCTGTGGGAGAGGGGAGCAGGGGAATCCCTGCTTGAGAAGAAGGTGGTGAGGAAAGCAGCATGGGGAAGCCAGGCAGATCCTGCTGTGTCTGCCGTCTCTGCCATAGCTCCGGCCAGGGAACAGAGGGCAGGGGCTAGCCCTGCTGGCTGGAGCAGAGAGCCCTGCCCAGGGCTGCAAAGCATCTGTGATGCTGGGGGACTCTGGTTTAAGTTAAACCAGGAAGAAGTCTGGGACAGACATTGCATAAACTGGTTGGACCCAAATCAGTTAAGTCTGATACTACATTCAACCAGGTTTATGTCAAACCGGTTATAGCCATTTTCAAACTGGTTTATGTGCACTGAATGTCTGTTCTGTTATAGGTTTAAACCAGTTTCTGATCACTTAACCAGTTTATGTGTAATGTCTATCCCTAGCCCAGAGGGATAGGTTGTAGCTGTGTTGGTCTAAGGACATAGGCAGACAAGGTTGTTTGGGTAAATCCAATATCTTTAATTAGACCAACTCAAATAGTTGGAAAAATTCTTCTTAGCAAGCTTTCAGGCACAAACACCCATCGTCAGGCTGAGGAAGCATCTGCAAATGGTTTGTGCTCTTCCTGGATGGAGTGGTAAAGCAGCCAGAGGCCAGTATATGCAAGAAAGCCAGTCAGTTAAAATGTAAATTGAGGTGGTCAGGAGGTGAGAGACAGGTTGGGGGTGGGGGCGGTATTTATATTTAGTTTTTCTTCTTGATCCTGTTTTACAGTATAATGTTTAGGATTTTCTCTGGTGGTATACAGGGAGAATGTTTATTAAAATGCATAGAATGCTGTTAAATTAAATAAATCCTATCCTAAATAGTATTTCTATATACATGTGTAGCTGCAAACTCAGATCACTTAATTGTCCCTAGAAAAACTGTTCATTTATTACTTTATTATCTTCTAGCCTACCAGAGATGATCGGGGCTGGTTTGTCACCCCTTTGGGACCTAATCCTTGGTGGACTGTGTTAGCTGCCATAATTCCAGCTTTGCTTTGTACTATCCTTATCTTTATGGACCAGCAGATTACAGCCGTTATTATCAACAGAAAAGAACACAAACTAAAGGTATTCAGTTTCATGTTCATATGTTCATTTTCCCTTCCTGCTTTACGTTACTTAATGCACGTCCATTTATTCAAAAACAGTTAATTTACTGTTCATTATTTAGCAGCTTCCTAAATCAATTAAAAAACTAAGAGTGTGTATTAATTTTGTGCATGTGATTTCTGTGGTCTTTGTCAGAGACTCTTTGTTTACACAAGTTTTTTTAAAATGTGCCTAGAGGCACAGGCCCCGGTTCAGAAGATTACTTCTTACCTAAACAGGCTTAAGACCCTTTGATTTTAAAGAACACCTATTGTAAGTTAAGCAGTTGCCAGAATCTCTACTGAATCAAAATCAAATGTATAACATATCTTGAGAACCAGACAGCATCTTTCTACTGTGTTTAATTTTGAAAATTTATTCAGGGACACCGCATTTTTTTTTTTTTCCATTCTTTATCTTTTGAATTTACATATAAGTTCTTCTTCCGTTCCTTTCCTTTCTTCTTAGAGGAGGATGAAGTGTAAAAATTGAACTTGGAGACACATAGGGATCTTAAAATGACATAGGACAACTTCCTGCTCTGTTCTCTAACACTCTAGACGCCTGCAGATGGAGAGAGAAAAGGGGACATCACCTCTCTGAAAAACTGTTGGGCAAAATCTAACAGCAGGTTTCTCTACATGTATATGCAGCAAGCTTAGGCTTCTTTTGACATACTTTTACTAAACAACAATCCAATCCCAAATCACTTTAGCAAATGTATTTGCAACCTTCACTTTGCACTGCCTCTTCTTGGATGATTGTGACATTTGATATGTTCTTTTTTTGCCCTTTTTGTCAGCCTGGCTCTTCATGTCAATCCATAGTATTGCATGTGGTTAACTTGACAGATGCAGGAAATTGCTGCCAAGCTTTGGAATGTGTTTTTTCAGTGCTGGCATCTGGGTGTCAGATGGTCCTCCTGGCTGCCCCCTTGTCTTGCTGTATATTAGCTTTGCTGGGGTCTGGTGTATCATCACCTGTTGCTCTACTTCCCTTTTCTCCCATATGTCAGTTTCCTCAGAGTCATGTAAAATGTGAGGAAAAGATCTCTGATTCTGTATGCATTAGTAGATACGTTCCTCCTAAATGTGTCAGAAGGTAAAAAAGGTGTCTCTGTTAGGATTTAGAATTAAGCTCTTTCTGTGAATGCATGTATGTCTATAACTAAATCCTTTATTTGACATATTTCTGAATTCAGCAAGACATGTTTTGGATGTCAGACTGATAAGCAACTTCAGGGAGCAAGGTTGATGAAACTGGGCATTTTGTGTTCTGGGTCATGATTCCATAAACTCAGATGCTTCTCATTTTAGAAATTAAACTTGTCTTCAGAAGGAAGGAGACAAATAATTTCTAACTTGTTTTTTCCCCATTTTGTTATACTTTCCATAGCAGTTCTGAATAGTGTACATTTGAGTTTTTGGCAGCCTCTGTAGCAAAGCCTTCCAAGTTTGATTTAGTTACTTTTTATGTCAAAAGCCATTTGCATGGGTTTACGGGCAAGATTCTGGTTCTGCATATTCATATTGCTTGCATGTGCTTTAGTGTAAAAGCAGGAAATTGGACTTGGGGCCCTGCTACACATTCAAATTAAAGCTGGATAGAAACCAGCTATAGAGTTGTTACACATTTTCAGGCACTAACCTTATAGCTGGTTGGCTCTTTTTGTAGCTGGACAGTCATTTTTATAGTGTGATAATTACTTTGCATGTGTGGCTGGTCTAAATTTATTGCATGGTTAATCAGTTAATTGTGTAATATATGTAACCAGTAGCAGGAGCCTTGTTGCCATATTGGAAAATATTGTGGGATTTACCTTCAGGTGACTTTTCCAACTAAAATAGTTTGAATTCTAAATACAGAGGGAAAATCAGAGTCTAATGATGCTCTGGGTATTCAGAATAAGAAAAAAATCCTTCGTAGCTTTGACATCAAATTAAGTTACATGGACAAGCTTTGCTGATTCTCAGATCAGGTGAACTCAAAGAATGAATGCTTATGGTCAGAGCCAAAAGTTTTACTCCCCTCTGCTCTGTAACAACAATATAATTTTACTCTGTCATTCTACAGATTAAGTTATTGTCTAACACAATCAGATTCCAAAAACTGAGTTTAATACTGTCTTTTCCCTTCCTATGGGATGGCATTTCTTAAGAATGTAATGGGAAAATGAAAAGTGCCATGCCTGGTTATTTTTCCTTTAAAAAAAGCCCCTTTTAACTTAGAGAAGACTGATCTTACCATGGTTAAAAGTAGAAACAAAAGGGAAAAAAATCTTAAATAAATCTCATTTCAATATGATTATGATGCTGCTAACAGCTTATGAACTTTATATATGATAAAACATGTGGCAATAATATAAAGATACTGCCAAAAGATGTGTGTATCTAAATAGTCATTTATGGACTAAATTGGTTTCATAGTCTCTGACTTAACAACATTCAGTAGTGTTTTGTGGATGGAAGAATCAAAAGGTGTATCTTGACCTTTTTGTCATATTGAATGAAATAGTTTGAATGTTTGTAAAGGTTGCCCATTAGCCAGTTTCAGGAAGAAGATAGGATCTATCTCCTTATCTAGCTCATTGTTTTGGAGCTACGTGCGAAATGTCCTGACTTCGCCTAAAACCTTAATCTAAATTGTACCTTTAGAAGTTTTTTACAAAGAAAGTAAATATCCTAAATTCCGAGACATCAAAGCCTAAGGCCTTTTAACCAAATTGCTAAGAAAAGAGTATTTACAGTGATATGGAAGTCTCCCCAAGAATAATTTAAAAAATGCTCAACAAAGGTAATTTCTGTTGAGTAAGATCCGAGCCCAAATTTGGGAGTTATGATGAATTGAGTAGGAGGAGCCCAATGACGGCAGCTCACTCAATAAAAACCTGTAACTTACTGTCCCAATTTGGAGGTGACTTCACTTGCAGAACAACGAAGGAAGAATCGCAAGTATAAGGTCAGATTAGATTGATCGCCTAATCAAGCCTCTCCGTGAACACGAATCTCTTAGTTCACGCTGAAGCCGCGGAGCGCCCGAAAGGGACTGAAGGAAGGGGACGTAGTCCTATCACTGGTGAGCCCAGCTCATTGAATCGTATTGCTGAGGCCAGCCTATTGAACCGTACGACTGAGGCCAACCCATTAAATCGTACTACTGAGGAATGAAACCATATTTTGGTATTTGGCTTCTCGGAATTCTAGGATTGTAAGTATATTATGAAAAATAACAGTATTGATTCAAATTTAACTTTTAGTTGTAATTGTAGTTGTTTTTGTAGCACTAATTCTTATAGCATTGTTTGGGAAGGAAGTGCATTCGGAGTATTGTTTCTGATATATGTAATTATTGTGTTTTTAATGTTTGTGGTGTTTCTTAAAGCTAAGCAGTGTTATATACGTAGCAAAGAGTTTTAAAATAAAATTGTGTTGTATAAATTAAGTGTGTAATCATTGTGAAATCATGCAATCAGCTAACTACTCCCCCAGCCAGTGCATCAAAATGAATCAGTAAATTGTGTGGGATTTTCTCTATTCCATAACCCACTAGAGACACTTTTGTGTAAGGATAATGGTTTGTTCTCTATTAAGATTTTTTTGTAACTTGAATCCGGTGCATGCAAAAAGCATGTTGTAGTGACACCATTGGTGTAAGAGGCATCCACTCTTATCCATGGAAGAGGTCCAGGTAAAGTGGCAGCCATGCATATTTCTCATGATGCCCCACCAGTGTATCTTATACTTTGTATGAAAGGACCATATTGAGAGGTGCATGAACTTAGCATCTTCCATTAAAAAAAAGCCATTTTGGAAATAAATTCTTAATGTGGGCTCTTTCTCACAAGGAACTAGACAAAGATCCACAACTTATTTCATATAAACCAATAAAAATCCACTGTATATTGCCATTTTTCCCTCACTGTTGATTCGATCTGGGTAGCATGTGGAGGACAGCTATTTCTTGCTAAATGTATGAATTTTTAAAAATTGTTTCTAATTGTTAGATCTGCCTGCTGCTAGAGATGTCCTGAATGCAAATGCCATTTTATATCTTATCTTTTTATTGTTTCTGTTAACAGAAAGGGTGTGGATATCATCTCGACTTGTTGATGGTGGCAGTCATGCTCGGAGTATGCTCCATTATGGGACTGCCATGGTTTGTTGCTGCCACTGTGCTCTCTATTTCCCATGTGAACAGCTTAAAATTAGAATCGGAATGCTCTGCTCCAGGAGAGCAGCCCAAGTTTCTTGGAATACGGGAGCAGAGAGTTACAGGGCTCATGATATTTGTCCTTATGGGCTCATCGGTCTTTTTGACAAGTGTTCTTAAGGTAATTCTGGTGAATAAGATAAGAGTTAAGAGTACTATACTGCAAAGAAAATATAATTATGCTTTTATCTAATGAGTCTCTTAACATACAGCCTGCTAGTTGGCATATTGTAGTGTAGGGCTGCCCAACTTCTGAGCAGCTGGCCGCCGCATGCCATGCAAGGTATGGGTCCCTCAGACTATAGGCCTCATTGCCACAGGCTCTGTTCCCACTACATAGTCTGTGTGGACTCCCTGGGACCCCATGGGCCATGCTGCCCCCACCAATGGCAGGGGCAAGAAGTGGAAGCTGTGGGATGGAGATGAAGCCTTTTGGCACTGGTTTGATGACCTTGTTCCAGGCAGACCAAAACTCTCAGACTGACTATGATTACTCCATTTGATAATAGGCAAATTTTATTGGTTCACAGTGATAGCAGATAAGAATAGTGCAAACAATCTATATCTACCAGTCCCAGGGTTGTCATCGGAGGGAAGGTACGTCTGGCCAGTATGCGAGCTTCACTTTGAGGTTCCCTCTTGAATGGCAGATATCAGCAGCCTGGAGGTTGGAGGCTGAGGCCCACCCTCCCGCAATAGGGTGGGTGAGACAGGCTGGTGGTATGCCCTTTGTCCATGGTGCCTTGGGTTCCCCTCTCAGGGACCCTTTGCTGCTCTGAAATCCCTCCTTTTGTATCCTATCTTCTTTCTGATGACTCTTCATCTTTGGATATCACTGATTGGTCTCTCTGTGGTCATCATACATATGGTCCATGTTCTGTCCTGTCAGCATATCCCTTTGTTTCACAGACCCATCACATGCATACATTCTAATTTGGTTCTTTCCTGGTCTTCTCCTAATTTGGTCTGTTCCCCAAAACTGGAAATGTCAAGGGTTCTGCAGTTGGGCACTGTGACTCAGTGACACCTTATCACATGTTATGGAACACTGTGGTACATGTCTTGAATTTCCCAGCCTGTGTGTCTGCTTGCTGCTTGCTTGTGTCAGACACAGTGGGCCTTGAAGGCACAAACAGACTTTTAGAAATCAATTAACCCTTGCCATTGCCTGGGACTATTGTTCTAATGCATATCTACTTTACATACAAGCCAGTTCCCAAAAGCAAACCTCTAAATACCTTTATCTAGCCATCAAAAATCCCAACAGCAGCAGGAGATGCAGTGTGGGTAGAGGTGGTCCAGCTGGAGCCTGCAGGCCACAAATTAACTCTGTGTGGGCCATGAGTTGAACAGCCCTATTGTTGTGTAGTAATTAACTTTATTCTGATGCTGTTAATGATAAAATATCAACATTTAATATTTTCAAGCCAAATTGGTTGAAGGTGAAATTGCAGCCCAATTTAAGTTAATGAGAAGCATGCCACTGACTTTCTGGGACCAAGCATTTGTACACCCTTTATCTACAATTGGACTCATGGTAAATTTTCATCCAAAAGCAAAGCCTTATTAAATTCCACCAGCAACAAATATTCTTGTATTTGAGTAATTCAGGGAGATTGTGAACAGTTTCCAATGGCATTCTATAGTCAATATATTTGAAATACCAAGGAAAACTTTCATTTATCCTCTAAGGCTAGGGACAGAAATTGCACATAAACCAGTATAAGTGATTGGAAACCAGTCTAAACCAGTAACAGAATAGAGGTTCAGTGCATATAGACCAATTTTAAAATGGTGGAACCTGGTTTAAGACCTGGATGCATGTAGCATCAGATTTAATCAGTTTAGGTTAGATCAGTCTACCAAACATCTGTTCGAGATACCCTCCTGACTCAAGTTAGGTCACAGTCCTCTGGCATCCCAGGATGCTTTGTGGCCCCCTGCTAATCCTTCCTTGAAGAGTGGGCAGGCTAGCCTCTGCCACTGTTACTCTGCTCTGGTGGAGCCAGGCTGGCCCTGCTCCCAGGCTGTCACAGAGCTGAGGCAACAAAGCCTCTGTTCCCCAGCCCTGCATCCTGACTACATCTGTCAGCCCAGTCAGGCAGCACATAGGAGGCAGGGGAACAGAACCCCATGCCCTGGCTCTGGGCTCCCCATGAGCTGGGATCTGCCCAGCTGGGGGGCCCTTGCAGCATTGGGGGTGGGGTTCTCCTTCCCCAGTAGGCCTGGCTGCATAGCTCTGCCCCCTGGAATTCTCTGCTTCTGACCTGCAGAGGGCAGGGGGAAGTGAACCCCCCTGCGCTGGTCTCAGCCCAACTAAGTTGGAGTCTGCCCAGTGTGGGGGAGCCCTGCACTGCAGGGGGGGTTCCCCCACCCCTGTTTCAGCCCTCCCTCCCCAGCTGAGGTCTGCCCATCCTGGGGGCAGGGGTCCTGTATGAAGGGTTTCCCCATCCCTGCCTGGCTGGGCTGGCTACACAGCCCTGCCTCTGACCTGCATGGTGATGTGGGGGGAACAACCACCACCCCCACAACCCATCTCAGCCCCCTGAGCTGGGATCTGCCCAGCTGGGGGGAGCCCTGTACCATGGGGGGTGGCGGGTGTTCCCCTTCCCTACCCATCCAGGAGAGCTGCACAGCCCTGCCCCCTGTAAGTCTCTGCTTCTGCAGTGTTGTGCAGACAGCAGGGGACTGGGGACATGTGCCGAGCAGAAAATGAGATATGGCCCACAATCAGCTATGCTTGGGTGCCTTCAGTAATATCCACCACACTGGAAGTCATGCAAGAGCACTCCCTGCCTTCTGGCCTTGGCCAGTGCAGGCATCTGCCTGTCTTCCCCAGCTGAAGAGTGAACATGAGTTTGGTTGTTAATGGTCCAATCTATACAGCTTAGAGCCGTGAAGACTGGATCAATTCCTCGTGGGGTTTTTTGTCTCTCTGTACTTAGCCTAAAAGTTCAATGTCAAACCAAATAGCTAAGGGTCTGTTTTCACCATCTGCCTACATACTCCTTAACATTGTGAATTATAGACAAAATTCTGGTCTCAGCGAAGTCATTATGAAGAAAAGAAATTTCTTAATGCTCATATTTTGGAATAATATTGCAGTAAATATATTGGTAAGACGTCTTCACAAAAAAATGTGTTGTATGCATTGCATTTAAAACAGATGCTTAAATATGGAAAGATTTCCCTGCCTACACACTTTGTACCAGAGAGAGTCTGCACACTTTAAACATAGATATTCAGATTCACATAATTGTTGTAAAATAACTATATGCTCTATTTAAAGGCATATAACACACAAAAAAATCCCTTACCAATAGATTTTATTTTATTTTTTGCAGTATTTACTGTCTTAAGTACTTTTTTTCCTGAGGGTGTTCAAGTAACATTATATATAGGATTGTAAGCAGGGCTGTCCAACTGGTGGCCTCTGGGCTGTATGTGGTCCCTGCAGAGTAAACATGTAGCCCTGCACTCCCAGTCATGGCACTGCTCCCCTTTGCTCTCCAGCTGCTGCTGGAGTACCCAGATTCCCCTTCCTCTTCCAGCTTCCTCTGCCTGGTCATGCTTCTGGGTATAGGGGAGAGTGGAGTGACCCACGGGGCGGGGGGGACCCTGTCACCAGGGAGGCTCAGGAGAACCCAGGAACCACGTGAAGTGCAGAGACATCAGTAATGGTGCATTGGAAGTTGCCTGTGATGTGCTGGGTGGGAGCCATGTAGCGGCAGGTGGGTATGTGGTGTGTTGCAGTATGTCCGTCTAGTGGGGGGAAGGGGCTGCACAATGTGTCCATGTTGTGGGGGGGAGGAGGAAACGTGTACTGGGGGCTATTCTGGCATTTCAGCAGCCTGTGAAGTGTTCAGTCATGCTGTTCAGGGTCTGTCCCAGTATGCACCCCCAGGCTGTATGTAGCCGATGTGGTGTATGGCTGGGGGGGGGTTGTGGACCCTGGGCACTCAGAAGTTGGACAACTTATTGTATGAGTAACCTATTTAAATATATGATAAGGATGAACTGCTCTCTAACTTATTGTCTACCACCTGGTATATTGTAGTGCAGGTCTGGCCAGTTTCTGAGCAGGTGGGGACTACATGCTACTTGGGCTGTGGGTCCACAGGCCCCCTCCCCCCAGCAGCCACCTTCTCTTTACTGCATGGGCTGTGTGGACTCCCAGTCTCCCAAGAGCCATGCCACACCACCATCGGGGTGGGGGCAGGAAGCAGAAGCCAGAGGAGAAGGGAAGCCTAAAGGCCCCAGCAGCAACAGCAGATGTGGTAGGGCAGAGCAGCAGCCGGGCAGGAGCCCATAGGCCACATGTTAGCATTAGGTCTTGTAAACAGTGAATAGATTACATAGTGGCAACTGGAAAACTAAAGCTCCAGGCAACAGTGCCTATGAGGGACAGATGTAGCAGCAGCTGCAGTAGCCTTGGAGTCCCCAGTGCAAATGACTCTAAGTACCCATTTACAGCCTGAGGTACAAGGTTCCTTGATTTCTCTGCTGTTGCATTCCAGCAAATGCAAAGTAATTCTACTAATTTTTACCCAGTTCCTTTAGATGTATACTATTTGGATTAATTCTGGAACTAGATTTTGAATTAAAACTATTTAAAATATAGTATACATGAACTGATATTCAACATATTCTTTTTTTCTTCTCTCTCCTGCTTTTTCATCTGCAGTTTATTCCTATGCCAGTGCTCTATGGAGTCTTTCTTTACATGGGTGCTTCATCTCTGAAGGGAATTCAGGTAAAATGGGGTATAAGAAAAATGTGCACATTTCTCTGTTAATCATTGAGTTTAGTTCTAGAAAAGATGGCTATTTTTATCTTCAACTCTGTTGATCTCTTTCTGTGTATAAACTTGGGATGCTATCAACCTTAATGATCAGGCTCCTTCTTTGGTTCACTCTCTCTGAGCATTCCCTTGCCTGCTGACTCCTTAATTTCACCTTTGTCACTATTGTTACTAGTAAACATCCTCATGTGTCTTGTTTACACTAGTTCCTATGTTTAGCTGCCCTAAAGCTGGTGTAGCCAGTCCCTTGAGGATTCCTCTCTCTGAATTAGTCCTTAGACAGGGGTAGAGTAACCATGTTCAGCTCCTAATACCCCCTTCATAGAAGGTATGTCTAAGGAAAAGGCAGTGCTCCTGTTCTTCCCCAAAGCTGGAATGTCCCTGGAGGCTGTGTTGGCAGTTGGCTTGTTCTTGGCAATAATGTGCACATAGGGCCCTAGGCAGGATTTGGAAGAGTACAAACAGCACCTCAGCATCCCATCTCCTGAGCTGTGCCAAGCACTCTGCAGCTGAGGCTTAGGTCTGGCCCTGGGACTTCTTGCACCATATCTCATGTACCAGTGCAGAAATAAATGGAATGGATAAAAACAATCCTATGCCCAGTTTACACAAGCACTCCTGAAGCTGCTAGTGCTAAAAGAGCTACATCAATCCTGGGTAGTAGTGCAAAAAATGCTGGAGTGGATTCATACTTGCAGACTTCAGGAAAGCAGCATATACTATGAATTCAAGAGTGAAATGAAGTCTCCACAAAATGCTGGCAAGTGCACAGAGTAGAGAAGATGCTTTGCTTCTTTCCCTTTCTTTTTTTAATCTGATCAGCATTTTTACAAGTTGACAATACCCCATTTATTTTTACTTTGTTTATCATAGCCAAGGCTGGTAGCACCACCTATTAAGGTTGCCTGACACTTCCCAGTAGAAGACCCCTGTTTTCAGCTGCTTATAATTATGCCAAACTTTAACAGTTTGGGCTGAAATTTGACAAGTTAGGTGTTTGCCTCAGGCAGAACTACTTAGAACATTTCAATCGAAATGGTTCAATTGTGTCTGAGCATGAAGCAAGCGGAAAATATGTTAGGGTACAATGTTAAGAAACCTTTGCTTTCACAAGTTATAACACCCCCTTTTTGGAGAGAGTTAAAATTTGCAGGGAATTACAATTTGACAGGTTCAGGTTCTGTCAGAGATGGGCCTTTTGCTGTTTCTGGGAAGATTTGTCCAATTTGTCCCAACTAAGGGTTTTTAAAGATTGCCATTTGCACATTCTCGACAGAGGCCTCTTAGAATTCCCAGGGATTCTACGCATGCTGAGTTTGGCTCATGTGCCCACAGATTCTGGGTATACCTGGACTGTACACGTATTATCACCACAGAACAAGTAGTGCTTGGCTACATAGTAAACTTACAAGGCCTGGCAGCAGCACCTGCAGGCATGTTACATTACTCCAAGTGGGCTGCCTCCTAAACCAAAAACAGTGTAGCTCTCTTTCTGTAATGCCAGGAGCAGGCTAATTAGCATGGGGGAAGGGGCTAATTGGCACTGCCACTCAGCAGTGCTAATTAACCTGTCCAAAGTCTTATTCAGATTTAGTTTCCAGTTTAGAAAGCTTGAAAGTGCTGCTGGCAGGCACAATAAGTTTATCAAGTAGGCATGGCTCAGGTTGCTGTACTCCCCAGTCTACAGCATAGAGGCTTAGAAGCCTTTCCCTGTAATTAGTGTTCCAGACCTGTAACCAAGGAACTTATGTCTTCTGTGACCCTCTGATGGCTCTTGGGGAGCGTACCATAAAAAGTTGCCTGACTTAAATAAAGAGAGGAGGGAAGGAAATAGATTGGCCCAAGTAGTCTGGTGAGGCTGACACTAGAAGGGAGAAAGAGAGCATAAGGAGACAATAAAATATTGAACAGCTGCTCATTGTTTTATCCCGGCACAGTGCAGCAGGGGTTCTTTGGGGAAAAATCATCTGTGATAGTGTAAGCAAAGGCTATCACAATGCAACTGTGCAAAGCGCCCAACTTGAGCCTTTGCAGTCCACTTTTATTCAGGCATTTCCTATCTGTTAAATTGGGAAACCAGATTTAATAATGTTGTTTTAATGTAGTATTTTGCATATAATATAGCATACAGTCTTTGAGCAGGAGGGCTATTTATAGACATGGTCTGGGAGGTGTATGTGTGGGGTGGGGAGGGGGGGGTGCTTTAACAAGTGCAGCTCTGAGAGCTGTGCTAAGTAAAGCGCTTGGAGTGTCGTGTATCAGCATCCCCACGCTGAAAAATGGCGGTGGGGCGCTTTGAACTCAAGCTCGTTTTAAAGCACCCCACTGCCATTTTTCAGCACAGGGACACTGATACGTGTGACGCAGGAGTCTTCTGGAGTGCGGCAATTACCACACTCCAGCAGATTCAATTAATCAATTAATTGAGTCTGCTCCAATGCACTGTAATTACAGCACGTTGGAGCAGCCTCCCTGCACGTGTATAGGAGCCCAGGCGTTTCTGATACATGTTTGCATGGCAGACAATACAGTGGGATCTGATTCTTACTGGGCTCTTTAAGCACTGCTATTTAAAAGTGATGAATAATGGGGAAAAATATAGTTTAATGAGGCATACTTGAAAGTGTAACCCACACTTCCAGACTTAGTGCAGTTCTCTTGCCTCTGGTGGGCCAACTACATGGATTGCTACAGCGCTTAAAGCAACAGAGCTTATTCCTCTAATTCAAGCAGTAACAGCTCAAAGTTTTAGATGCCAGAAGTCTTTAGTAGAGTCCCCACTACTGGATTATCTGTCCACGGTATTGTGTTCACACCAGTTGGCCTTTGTCTTTGCTTTAAATTGTGTGCATTAACTATGTGGGCCAGTCCTTGCACATCAACACAGGCAGCCCTACACCTCATTTTGATAAAAAATGCAGCTTAATTTATTTCTCTCCTAGCTCTTTGATAGAATAAAGTTATTCTGGATGCCAGCAAAGCATCAGCCAGATTTTATTTATCTGAGGCATGTTCCTCTTCGAAAAGTCCATCTCTTCACTGTAATTCAGCTGACCTGTCTTGTACTCCTGTGGATTATAAAGGTTTCAAGAGCTGCTATAGTCTTCCCCATGATGGTATGTTGTTTTTTTTTTTATTTCCACCAAAATAAAAGTTACTTCCTTTCCCATATACATAATAATTGTTTAAGAACATTAATTTGGGATATGTATATTCAAAATCTCCCATGGACTCAGGGTCCATAGATGATTTCACACTACATGTACATTACATGTACATTTTACATGAACCCTGCAGTTTTGGTTAAATATTGTTCACTTTATTATTGTTCACCCATGAGCAGCCAGCTGCTTCTTTTGTGCAAGGGGCCAGAAGGATTCACTTCTTTATTTTTATTTTTTGATATTGTTTGGAAATATTCTGCTTAATAGCTTTACATAAAAATGTTAATTCCCAAAGGGTATTTATAGTGCATGGGGAAAATTTGTGACAGTTCTGTGCATGCTTGAAATTAATAAATCAAGTGATTCTGTGGCTGGAATCAATTAGCCTTACTTATAGCACTGACTTATACAGAAATTAGTATCTTGTATCTTTCACAATTTAGAAGGAAGTTAGGGAAGACAAAGTGTCCCAGAATATACTTTACTCTTTAAAAAAAAAAAATCTAGACACTGAAATAAGTAACAGCAAGTTCCAAAGTGAAAGGCAAAACAAGGGAAAAAAATGTAGTTTTCTTTGTCAACAAGGGAAGCAGGCCCAACTATTCAACTTGCATGGTTTGTGCTATGGATCTTTTCCACAAAGTTAATCACTTTTAGAAGTACTCTCCAAGCCTATTTTCCATTTTCACTTGTCTGCAATATCTTGACTGTTTAAACAAATGTCTCGACCAGGTTTTAGCATTGGTGTTCGTCAGAAAACTCATGGATTTCTTTTTTACCAAACGGGAGCTCAGCTGGTTGGATGATTTGATGCCTGAGAGCAAGAAAAAGAAACTGGAGGATGCTGAAAAAGAGGTGGGTTCATTTTTGGTTTCCTAATACTGTTCTAATCAATTTCTTATTAAATTATTTACAGCACAACTTGGTGTATATGCCGGAGTGCATCAGTTCTTCGATATATTTATTATATCACGTTTTAAAATTACAAATGTGAATTTCAATCCTGTAAATATGATATTGGCATAGTGTCGTACTGAGGAGAGGGAGACTGTAGGTGAAAGGGCTTTGAGAGATGCATCTGGTTCCAAAATAAGAATCAAAGAAAAGGGCATGGTCTAATGTAGACCTGAGTCTAATGCAACAGGCCAGACTTGGCCCACTGAAATGTATGGCTTGCAAGGTTCCCTAAGGCTCTGGAAATTTGGTAATAATAATTGCTGGTCCCTTGCTGCCAAATTTCTGGACCCATGGGAAGCCCTGCAGGCTGGATAACATGGCCCTGTACACCGTATCTTGTCAGTGTGTGACTGATCCAGACAAGTAGCTGAAGACTGTTATCAATCCCTCCTCAGTCTCTCTTCTAGAGTAAACTGTTCTAGTTCTTCCACTTTCTACTTCATTTTGAAACTGACATACAAACCATAGATACATGTTCCCATGTCTGTTGCTGTCATGATTCAGACTAATGGAAAGTATTCAAGGTAGCTTTTTTATGTACTTCTGGTAGTTGGAAGGAACCCTTTCCTTGTTATCCTTCTGTTTTGCTTTTGCATTGCTTTCTTTCAAATTCTTGATAGCATGACTTCAAAAACAAAACTGGGAAAATCTATTTCTTTTGCTGCTACTTTATTTCAGTCACTGTCTATTTTGAGAGGTTATTTTTACATATTTTGGCATATATAAATATTTGGAGCTATTATTAAAACTGTTTAACTGTCAGAAACTTATGAAGCTGTGAAGCCTGGAAATGACAAAATTAACTAGTAATAAAACTTCTGACATGTAGCCTAAAGAATTAATTGGAGAGTTGCTATCACAGAGGATTTATAAATAGAAATATTCTACCCACAAGAATATTCAGAAATAAAGTTGACAAAATCTAAAAACTTATTCGACTGAATCATGATTTCATCACTTAAGTTGTTTTTACGTTTCTAGAGCATTTTTTCCTCTGACTTAGTGTATATTATTCACCTCT